GCCACCTTCGTGAAATATGAAGACATCGATGCTTTTCATTTTGACATTATTATTTTTCATGTTCTTTTTAAATCTGGTGCCAGAAGTGCATAATTCGCAAAAAAGTATGTCAAACTATTTAACATATTGGTACTATGTTTGTACTCTCTACCGCACCTTCTGTATGATGTCATAGCGATGACATCACACTTAAGCCAATCAGCCTTCAGAAGACAGTCTCGTCGGCTTGTGTCAGATTAGCTGATTGGTTAAAGCTGAGCTGATTGGAGCTGATTGGTTAAAAACCAAAGCCTCGCCGCGGGTGGCTGTATTACAGGATAAGAACGCATTCCTGGGATAAGGACGCATTCCTGGCATATTTTCTTTTAAAGTTGCCGATACCTACAAATGGAGGCCGAAATCGGCCGTAAGGTGGGACACTCTCGGGGTTTTCGGACACGGGCTACGAGATGGCCATCTCAGTTTCAAACCCCATGTTAAAGGTGACCCTTTTCCTTTAAGGTTAGGTTCTTAACTGTCTCGAAATTCTTCTTCAAGCATCTATTAGATGTTTTAACCGATTTGTAAAGCACAGTTCTGAGATCTGTGAGAAGCTAGTTGGGCTTTATGCAGCATATAAGAAAAATTAATGCCTAGCGATGCACACAAACATAGGTATAACTAAGACTTACGTTCATATAATTACAAAATTGTCGATTTTTAAAGCCTGTCCTGAAATTCGCTTTAAAAAATAAGGTGCGTCGCTATTTAAAAATGTGTCGAGACCCTGCTCAGATCCCGCTGTGTTTTTCTAGCGGCCGTCGAGTGGGCGACCGGTTTCACGTTGCCTCAGAGCCCAGTGTGCCGGGAATTCGCCGGCAGAGGCCAGCTATCACAATCAGGGCTGACGTTTGAGACGTGTGGTACGGCCGAGCGGGCTCGCAACACCTCCCCGCGGCCCTGTCCGTCTTCACAGCGACCTCCTGTTTACTGAACCCCGACCATCAGACGATAGGGCTGCCGCTGCCGCCGCCGCCACCGCCGCCACCGCTCGTCACCGCCGGGCAGCCCACCTCCCACCCCTCTCCGCGTCTGATCCAAACGCCCCCGGCAGTCTGGGACACAGGTAAACACAGGACACAGCAGCCTGACCTTGGGGCCGGCCGACTGTTGTCATGGAGGATCGGCGAAAACAAGATGCCTCTCACGACGGGGATTTAAAAAACGGAGAAAGGTGAAGGGCAGGGTCACGAGTGAACTGGAACAGAATTGCAAATGTATCTAGCCACGATTTACCATGAGTCCAGGACAAATACGGAATGTGACACGTCTTTTGCCGCACAGCTCCATCGTTGATGCTCAATGCTCGCACTTTCGCTCATCGCCAGAGTGCCTTTGGTGGAGTTCTGATCGGCTCTCCTTAGGACGGGGTATAACCATTACCGTCTCCAGTGACAGCCCCGTCCTTGAGTGCCGCTCTGCCCAGCCCGTCCGCTTTGTACCGCTATGACGGTATCGTATTCTTAGCCCGAGGCTCTAGAAAACGGCTCCGATAACCGTGAGCTCACGTGTCACGAATGAGCCAGCGGAGGCGATGCTGCAGCTCCTGTTTTTAAAGAAGAGAGAGAGAGAGAGAGAGAGAGAGAGAGAGAGAGAGAGAGAGAGAGAGAGAGAGAGAGAGAGAGAGAGAGAGAGAGAGAGAAGAGAGAGAGAGAGAGAGAGAGAGAGAGAGAGAGAAAGAGAGAGAGAGACAGAGACAGAGAAAGAGAGAAGAAAAAGAAAGAAAGAGAGACTGAGAAGGAGAGCAAGAGCGAGAGGAAGAAACAAAAGCGAGATAAAAGGGAGCAATCATATGTAACAGCTAAGGATTCGATCGAATTTGGATCGTATAGATATATGACGCTTTTCGTAATCCAGCATAATAAGTAGGTATGCAATATGCATGCTATATAATACAAAGTATGTAATACATAAGTATATAATGCATAATACATAAGTATATGCATATCTAAATAAGTACGAGTATATACATAAGTTCATAGGTACTACAGTGCTTATGAGCGCATGTAATTATGGAATATTTAGGAAAGATCGCTTCGCTAGCAATAAACAATAAACTCGACCTTACGTGTTTTGTCAGTTATCTTCTCCGATCTATTCGCACAGACGGAAGCTGGACATCGTACAAACCCGGATTCTTTTTTTTTTGGGGGGGGGGGGTTAGGCCCTTTCGGTCCAATAAGACCATTTCAGAGCCGGGAGGATGATAGGATATTGGGGGAGACATTGGTCTGGGCAGGCACCCTAGTGAGTCGCCGGGGCTGAGCCCGTCCAGAGGACAGGCCACCCAGCCCCAAGGCACTCACTGCACCCGGCTACGGGGTGCGCTCCCTCGGGAGCAGCGGTGCCGCTCCAAGGGAGCAGCCCGCATGAGATAAAGTTGCCTGTCCAGCCCGGAGGAGGGTTGCGGCGTGGAGGAGAAGGATATCAGTATCCTGAGGATAGAAGCACGGATCGGTGAACCCGGATTCGAACAGTGCATTAGTTAATGCTTTAATGCTGCACTGCATGCTTTGTGCCACGGCTCAAAGTACCAACGCAACCAGAATGGTGTTTGTTGCAGCCAATCAAAATTGCGCACCGCTAAGACTTGATTTAATTGGGATCCGGTTTCTAACAAGCACGCGGCACGCTAAAGCAACAACATGATCGGGCCTGAGCGAAGAAAACGAAAGAGGAAACCTGACGGCGGCAAACTTACAGTCCAGAAAACAGCCTTGCAAAGAAAACAAGCCTAAGCAGAGACAATAACCCTGCAAAACTGCAGCAGCAGAGGACAGCTGGCAGTTCAAAATGCATTCAATAATGCAAATGTTCTATAGTGAGAGACCAAAGTGATGTAAGATAGTTTACATTGCACATTACCTATATACATACCTATATTACATAGAACTGAAGCACTTCAGTTCTATGAAGTGCTTCAGTTCTAAGATTACACTTCTACAAGTCGTGACCAATGTGGATAGTTCTTACGCCACAACTCTTTTCGGCGAATCCTGAACAAATAATGAGGTTATCATTGCATGTAGCGAATCATTATCGCCAGTGATTTACCCAGTAACTTCTGTCCTTTGAAATACAACTACCATCTATGCATAGGTAATAGGTATCTACATGAATCTATGTCTATATTTAGTTACCAACACGCATAGCGAGTGCTCGTCAAAGTTGCATGTCACAGCCTATACAATGCATTCTTAGTGGCATCATTTTTTCTACATTTACGGTAAGCATTTAGAGGAAAGATCAAGTACTTCTGAGTAGTGGGGGTCATTCGTTTCAATTAAGGCATTGTCGGAGCGAAGAACGCACATTGCTGTCGCTGTCTCATCATGCATGAATGAAAAATATACTATTTTTCCCGTGTGATATTTGAAAACTTCATAAGGCTGACAATTCCATCCTCTCTTCCTGAACCCACCCAGCAGATTAAATTAAATGCTAGAGAAATGAATATGCCGAACTTTGCACTCTCATCTAGGAAAACTTCTTGATTTATTACTCTAAAAGTTTCATAATATGTTTGGATCAATCATTCGCTCAACATTGATTCCATACTCCAAACAGGTCATCCAAAGTTAGGTAAATGTCATTATTTCGCAATGCATTTTTTTCCAACAAAGCAATCAACGGTGTACCTTTATCGCATATGCCTATCTATATAATCATTCATATTCTCAGTAAACGGCTAAAAGTCGTCTCAATTCTTCACTATTAGTTCAGCACACGCTGCCAACCACTTCCAACTTTCCAAAGCGCTTTGCTGGCTCTGAACGCTCGAAAAATCGACCGTATACGCCTGTATACGGTATTGCCGACTGGACGCATATATTGCTTATAAGCAATGCCCGTCAAAACTGTGCATATTTAGCCCAAAGTCGGGACAATACAGATTGACTAAAAAGATGAATATTTCGCACAGCTAACTGGATTTACGCATGTAGAATATACGCTTTGAGGTATCTTATGCATCTTATGCATCGGTGCGGCAGCTATCCTTAAAAACCGATATAGCTCCTGTAGCCGTTAGTTACGGAGTTACGGTCATTTACATGCAAGATTACTTTACTACTCAGTACTCATTTACATGGTCCGTCTAAAAGTATGCCAGTACTCATGAACATACCTGTTTTGAGAAGCAGACATGATGAAAATGAGACGAAACTAATATAAGGTTCTATCTTATATTATTCTACCTCATATATGCACTACCTTGCATTAGGTACTTTATCTATATACCAATAAAATAGAATAGTTATGTAAGGTAATATACTCGTTTGGTATTAAGTGCAAGGCTTTTAAATGTATGTTCCCCAAGCAACATACATTTGACTAGCGCAAGTGACCTTAATTGACCAAGTGACCTCTGTTGACATCTGAAGGTTAAACGCCTGGGCCACTGAATGGCTGCAGTCATGCGTACAGGTCTCGCGGGTTTTAGCGGTAGGTTTTGCACCTAGAAAATTTAGTGTACTTCAGGCTATATCTTCGTCGTCTTAAGTCTTTAAGTGTTGAAGATGCGATCGACTTGTTGGTTCACATGATCGTGATCGTGTAAAATAGCTTCATCGTAGATCGATTAGGTTCTGAGATATAACCGAAAATGTAAAAGTGCAAAACCTACCGCTTAATCTCGCGAGAGCCGTACGCCCAAGTTTTTTTTCTTTATGCAATGCTTGAGATCTGCATTTGGACTAAATGTCAGACGATTAATTTTATATTTCTTTCTTCCACGTTAAACAAGGTCAAACGTTAGGTATGTAGATCGGTCACCTCTTCACATGCAGTCTGCTCCACCTGTCACCTGTTACCGGCTGCGAATCCCTGTCGATGACCTTTGAGGGTCGGACATCAGCTGATTTTTGCGCACAATGCCCTTCCCTTCGTGCGTCCCTCCAGCTGGCGGAAAGGCGCCGGGAGGCAGCCCTGAGGCACCCCGGGCGTCCATATGGGCCGCCCACAAGCCCCATACCTGCCACGGAGGTATTTAAGCGAAAGGGTTTTCGCAGACACCAACAGTGTCTTTCTTCTTCCCCGCTTACACCGACAAACTTCAGGTAAGTGAGGCAGACGTGTTTGGAGGGGCTAAATGTAACACAGTGCTTGCAACCAGTTATGAAATTGCCATGAGCCTTCTTACCGTTTGTTGTGTGCTTGGTCTGATGAATAAGTTTTGAATATGAAAAGGAATATGTACCTACTTAGAAATCGCAATGGAAACACTTCTTAAAGCTACACTATTCAATTAAGAATTCTTATTAGCTGGATATCTTCAGGAATTATTTGCCATTCATAGATCAAAGACGTTTTTCTTGCAATATCATTGATTTTATATTCGATGAAGAGTTTACCTTCTTTCATGTTTTCTCTGACATTTCGTATTTAAAGAACAAAGAAACTGTTTCATTGCTCACATCATTCAACAGAACTTTTAAGTTAGAGCCCATTTAGCGATCAAAGACTAAGCAGCCCTATTTGAATTGTTTCATTTTTTTGTAATGCTTATGGCCAATATATTTAAATGTTTCTTTTATCCAGCGTCCAATCATCATTGCATCGGCCTATGCCTAGAAGGTACCTTATTTTCAATACCTATTAATGGATTATTCAATGTTGTTACTCAATAGATTATTCAATATCTTGTGTTTCTGAACATTCTAAGGAGGCACCTTTATGTACAAAACTATCTTGATGTTGTCTATGGAGCCTCGTTTTCCGCAAGGAGCGATGGCCTGACAATATGGTGCTATCTTTTGAATAGAATTAATGACACTTTTTGGTGCTCTGAGACTATGCCATCGCCTTATTGGCTACAGCCGATTACATCTGGAGGGCGGAGGGGACTCTATTTATTTGCCTTCGTGGAGGAGTGATGGGCTGATCTCCAAAAATGAAGCCTTCCTGAGCTGGCACCGCGTCGTTTTCTCGTGACTGGGAAGGAGCAGCGGGGAGTGCAGTGCAGTGCAGGGAATGGAAGGGAAGGAGAGGAGGACGGAAGGAAGGAGAGAGGAGGGGAGAGAGTAGGGAAGAGGGGAGGGGAGGCGCGGCGCACGGCGGGAGGGCGGCGCTGGGTGACGGCGGCCGACCCTGCCGTCGTGCCGCCGTCCCTGCCGACCCGCCCTCACCGCCCGCCGGCCGCCCCTCCCCGCCCTGCCCGCAGGATGTGGTCGCCGCTGCCGCTGCTGCTGCTGCTGGGCACCGGGCTGGCCGCGCAGCTGCCAGACGCCTACCTGCCGCCGCAGTCGCCGCCGGCCGCCGACCAGCCGTGCGGCCCGGCCGCCACCGAGTTCATCACACAGACCCAGGTGGTGTCCAACACGGTCACCCGCCACGCCGTCTCCACGCTGATCTCGAGCGTCACCGTGAACACACACCAGACGCGTGTGATTCCGAGCACGATTCTGACCACCGTGGTCCAGACAGTGCCGGTCCAGTCGGACCGCACGGTCTACAGCGAGCAGCTGCAGCAGACCACCGAGACGGAGACGGTCCGTCTGCCGGCCGCCACCAACTTCATCACCAACACAGAGGTGCAGACCGAGACGCGCCGTCACGTCGAGCACCGGACGTCCCTGGTTGTTCGTACCGTCACATCCACGGCACTGTCGACCGGCACCATCACCCGTACCCAGACTGTGGCCAGCACCGTCTTCTATCCGTCCCAGGTGCTCCGGTTCGTCACCGAGACGCAGACGGCCGAGCCGGTGACGGTGACGCACGTACAGCTGCGACAGCTGCGGCACACAATCACCTCTCAGGCTCCGGCGCAGACCGTCTACCGCACCCAGCGCGACTACGTTACCGAGACGGAGACGGTACACGCCGCCCGGGAGCCGGTCACGCGCACGGAAATTGTTACCGTGCCGCAGGAGATCGTCATCACCTCGACCGTCGCCCAGCCGGACGTGCGGACCCGTACCGAGACGGTGACCCGCGTCAGCACCCAGCTGGTGACGCGCACGGCGCTGAGCACCCTGTACCGGACGGCCGTGCAGCACGAGACCCAGGTGGTGCCGCAGGTGGTGGAGGTGACACGCACCAGCGTCGTCACCTATCCAGTCACGGTGACCGTGGAACGCACCGCCGTCAGCACCACCCAGGCCCCGGCCGTCACCCAGCCCGTCACCGTCACAGAGGTGGTGCCCGTGACGGTGACTCCGCCGCCGGTGGTGCAGCAGAGCACCATCACCAGCCAGATCGCCAGCACCAGCGTGTTCACCACCACGCAGCTGGTGACCCAGCTAACCACCAGGGTGGTGGAGGTGAAGGGTCAGTGTGAGGGGTACCAGTACAACACGCCACAGAACCCGCTTCAGTTCTGAGCGCACGGAGCACAACGGAGCTGCTGCTGAAAGACAGAGCAACGGAGGTGCCGGGGAGGCCCATCGGCCGCCAGTCTGCCGCTCCGCGGAAAGGTCATCTAGATCATAACAGCGAAATTAAAATCAGACTGCAGGATGGTGCATTTTAGCGGCGGCTTAATTGCGACTGGTCCAGAATCTCGAATGAACTTATGCCTGTAATCGTGTTCTGCTGATGAAATACACCTTTGAAATAAACGAAATTAGTTTCTTCTTTTCAGCGTCAGTGAACTGCAGCCACATAATCTTCATTTATGATTACATTTCTCGACGAACCACGACGGTAAGCAATAATGTTTCTACTGTTGTGAACTGAATGTGAACGTTAGTTGCAGGCTATGCTGTAGCATCCAAGTTTGTTTTTTAACTACTGGCCCAAATGTTTCCATATGCTCTCTCAGTGACCACCCGTGCTGTCTCCACCCCTGACCTCTCCTGTATCTGCTCTGACCCCGCAGGATGCGCGTGGTCTTGCTGCTCTGCTGCCTGCTGGGCGTGGGCAGGGCGGCGCCTCAGACGGCCGGCAGTTACCTGCCCCCTCCTCCAGCCGCCGACGAGCCGCTCTGCGCCGAGGCCGAGCCCAGCATCGTGGTCATCACCAGCTACTCGACCGCCAACCGGGAGATCACCAGCACTCAGGTGGTGCCTCGGCTCACCTACACCACCATCACTCACACTGCCTCGGAGATCTCGCTGCTGGTGTCGACTGTCACCCAGACCGAGCAGGTGCCCACCACTCGCGTGCACACAATCACCACGACCCGCACACAACGTGTGCTGGCTACGGAGACGGCCACGCCGCCGTCCGTGGTGAGCACTGTGCTCGTGACGCGCACTCAGGTGCACGACAGCACTGAGTTCCGACCGGTGGTTCAGGTGAGCACTCAGGTCGTGGACGTGACGCGACGGCTCACGGCCACCCAGACGCGCACCGTGACGCGCACCCAGCTGGAGGCGCGCCCCGTCACGGAGACCGTCACGGCCACGTACGTGGCGGCCGGTGACGTGGCTGAGACCACGCAGGTGTCGACGTTCTTCGTGACAGAGACGGAGCGTCTGCCGGCCGAGACCAGCTTCATCACCAGCACGCAGGTTCAGGTGAGCCGATAAAGTTCGACACCCAAATGGTAGTCAGACAGGTCCCTGAAGTCATAAGTTCTCAAGTCCTCTATTCAAACAGGGAAGTGAAACTATTAATTATGTTTAGCGAGTATTGTTTAGTGCGAAAGGTCAGAAGTTTATCACGAAGTAAATGGAAATGTCAAAATGAATATCCATGCGATGGCGGTGACTGTAATTCAGCGCGAGGTGCATTGTCTGAATTATCACTTCCATGGTGCATAATTTGAACTGCAACGTGCCTGCTAATTACACTTCCACAAACTACTCGCCCAATTACAGGTTTGTTGGCTGCATCAATTTGTATTCCGTCACCGAATCAATACACAGCCGGTCCCGTTCCACCGCTGACCCGCCCCGCCCCGCCGCTCACCCGCCCCGCCCCACCGCTAACCCGCCCCGCTCCGCCGCTGACCCGCCCCGCTCCACCGCGCTGACCCGCCCCGCTCCGCCGCTGACCCGCCCCGCTCCACCGCTGACTGGCCCCGCTCCGCCGCTGACCCGCCCCGCTCCGCCGCGCTGACCCGCCCCGCTCCGCCGCTGACCCACCCCCACCCCTCCACCGACAGACCGAGTACGCCACGCGCACCGTACTGCAGCCGGCCAACACCATCCACATCACCAGCACAGCCGTGCAGCCGTTCACACGTGTACTCACCAGCACGCAGCTGGTGCCGAGCCTGCTGCTGGTGACCAGCACGGAGCTGCGCACCCACACCGAGACGGCCACCGAGACGGAGCGGCTCTTCCGCACCAACACGCGCACTGAGACGGTCGTCAGCACGGCTCTGCGCACCCGGCTGGTCACCGTGCAGCGCGACGTGGCCATCACCAGCACCCAGCAGCGCCTGGTGACCAGCACCGTCCGTCTGCCGGCCGTCACCGTCACTCTGACTCGCAACGCCGTGCGCCACGTCACGCAGCACGCGCCGGCGTCCACCGTGACGCGCGTGACGACCAGCACGCGCACGGCGCTGCGCTTCCTGACCTCTGTAGTGGCCAGCCCGGTGGTTTCGGAGGTGGTGGTCACCTCGACCATCCCGGCCGACTGCGGTTACAACTACGAGGCGCCCTCCGGCCCGGCCTTCGGCTTCTGAGCGGCCGCAGGGGGAGGCGAGATGTGACTGACAGGAGGGAGCGGGGAGCAGCAGATACCGCGGGAGTTTGGTCTCTTGTCACACCATTACGATTGTCTTTTGTAATTCTGTGTCCGACCCGTTTGTATCCCTAAATGTGTGTGCGCATGTGCTCATCATGGCACATAATAAAACAGAAGGACACAATTCGTTTGTACCTATGGAAGATGCGAAAATACGTCGGAAAAACGGTTAACAATTATTTACAATCACCTTTAGGTATTTGACAAGATCCATTACTTTATATAGAAATGCTGGAACTCTATTAAGCTAATTAAAGATGACATATAAATTATTTCGTAAAACATATTACAACGCACTGTGATACCCGCCACCAGTTAATGGGAACACTGAAATTACCACAAGCTCGATATTGGTAATGGCGATGCTACGAACTAGACGGACGACCCCAAAGCTGAACTCTGATTGATTGGGAAGCTGAACTCCATCTCTGCGGAACAACCTCAGCTCCACCGAGCCCACACAGATCCGATATCATTGTAACATCCGTTTTAATTCAACTCCGGCCGTGATATGGGGGCCGGCTGGTCAACTTCGCCCGGTATCGACGTTGCAGTCATCCTGCAGTTAACCAGAGATGCCAGTGGCGGGCGGGACCGCCCTCAGAGCCGACGGGAAGTCGTTCCCCAAACGAGTCCGCCGAGCCGTTCCAGGTGGGACATATGATGATTGATGTTGGTTCGATGCTGCACTTCATAGAAAGAGTAGCGGGGCGCATCCGCGATCTGGGTTTTGCAGAATTCGTCGGAGGTGGCACCGCAACTGGTATTGGTAACGGGGAGGGATGAGGGAACAGAGAGGGAATAAGAGGGAGGGAGGGAGATAGAGAGAGAGAGAGAGAGAGAGAGAGAGAGAGAGAGAGAGAGAGAGAGAGAGAGAGAGAGAGAGAGAGAGAGAGAGAGAGAGAGAGAGAGAGAGAGAGAGCACTGTTAGGTTAGGAAACATTAAAGTGTAGGAGAATGCATTTAAAGGGAGATATGATGACACTGAATAAAATGCTCCCGGCACTGGGACCCCTCACGGGTCTCGCCGTGTAGAGTGCCAAACACCTGTCATCAACCATCGACGGGACGACCAAATTGCTCCTGCCTGTGCATACGACCTGGCATTTCTGATGGAGGTGCGTGACCGGCTGAACAACAACACGGCTCGGGAAGTCGCCGAGACTATCCGGCGCAGTCTTCCCGCCCATGTCATCCGCCGTCATAATCGGCCACGCCCCCTCAGCCCAGTGGACGGGGCACATGGCCGGCCCGCTCGACAGACTCAGCGCCAGTCTAACCGGCCGACCGACCCGCCCAAATTACTCATCGGCTCCCTGAATATTCAAAGCCTGAAGCCCAAAATTCAGGAGCTGACGTTTGAGCTCAATCGTCACAACTACGACGTCATGCTTCTGGCTGAGACCTGGCTGCGCTCGACCACCCCGAACCGCCTCCTGGTCATTCCAGGATATACGCTTTGTCGTGTGGACCGCCCAGATGGTAGCGGTTACGGCGGTGTCGCAATTATCACCAAGGCTAAAATCACGTCAACCCGACTCAAGATCCCGGGCAGTGGGAGCCCTGCCAGCAGCCTGGAGTCACTGTGGGCGCTGCTAAAGCTTGAACAGGGCCGGCAGCTGATTATCTGCTCCCTGTATCGGCCACCCCGACACAGTGAGGCTGCTCTGGTTGCCGACTTCACGGACCTCGAGGCCCAACTGCAACGAGTTATAATCGATTACCCCAGTGTTCCGCTTGTCATCTGCGGCGACCTCAACTGTGATTTATTGAAAGAGCCTAATTTCCGCGCGCGTCAACACCTAAGCAGCTTCCTATCAAATTACTCATTAGATCAATTAGTGACAACTGCAACATTTTCCTCCGGCTCGCTCCTGGATGTGTGTATTGTTAACAACCGTGAGCTCGTTTGCGACACCCGTGTTAAATATTGTCACTTCAGTCCTCACAAACTTATCGATGTCGTTGTGAATGTGCCGAAACTGCGTCAAAAGCCCACTGTTATCTCGTCTCGCTCTTTTAAGCGTTTAGATCACCCTGCACTGCATCATGACTTACTCGATGTTGACTGGGATTATGTATTCTCCGCCGAAACCGTCAGTGATAAGTGGGATGCTTTCTTGTCTTTCTTCGTACCTGTTTTCGATGCCCATGCCCCAATTAAGCGTGTGTCTATCCGTAACCCGACTGCTCCTCCCGTCTCCGTCGCCACTCGAGATCTCATGTCCCAACGTCGCGCTGCGCTCCGCCATTTAGGCCGCAACTCGAGCGAGTACAAAACCCTTAACCGCTCTGTCCGGGCGGCTTTGCGTCGCGACCGGCGGGTGGAACTACAGAGGGAAATCGGGGAACGGGGCCCCAACAAAGTTTGGCAATGTATCAGGTCGGTGGTTGCCGGTAAGAAGGATGGTCCTGATGTTCAGCCTGACCTATCTGCCAATGACTTAAATTCTTTCTTTGTATCCGTCGGTCCTCGTGTCGCTGCCGAGATCCGAGCCCAAAACGCACCTACCGATTTGAATGTACGTCTTACCCGTGTTGGCGCATGCAGTTTTCAACTTCGAGAAATCACACTTGCCGAGCTTGAGCGGACGATTTTCAGTATGCGTAGCTCGGGTGCTTGCGGTACCGACAGTGTCTGCGTTCGCATGCTGAAAGCCGGATTCCGAGCTATTGGTGGCGTCATCCTGCATATTATCAATACCTGCTTAATTCAATCCGACATCCCCGATTCATGGAAACATTCCATAGTTCACCCTCTGTTCAAATCCGGCAATCCTTCAGACCCCGCAAACTTCCGGCCCATTTCCCTGGTTCCTGTAATCATGAAAGTGGTTGAGCGCATTGTCCATCAGCAGCTCTACATCTACCTCTCTCACAATCACCTGCTGGCATCCTCACAGCACGGCTTCCGCCCCCGGCACTCTACTGAAACCGCGTTGTTGTCCGTCACTGAACGCATCCTGGCCGCCACCGACAGGGGGGAGATCTCAATGCTATGCCTTCTCGACCTTAGTAAATGTTTTGACGTGATAGACCACGAGCTTCTGATGCAAAAACTTATGCTGCACGGTATCGAAATTTCCTGGTTCGCCGCCTATCTTCATGGACACACCCAGAGCGTGTCGTTGAAAAATGGGTCCGGAAGTAGAGTGCTGTCTCGGCCTCTTCCTAATACCATGGGTGTCTTCCAGGGCTCTGCGTTAGGTCCGTTACTTTTCACCATCTTCTCTAACAACCTATCGCTGTACGCGGGTGATGCAGTAGTCTTTCAATATGCCGACGACACCCAAGTATTGGTTAGCGGTCCTGCCAGGGACCTTGGAGTTCTCATCTCGCGCATGGAGGTTTCGCTCGCGTCACTCAACGAATGGTTCTGCGCTAACGCCCTGAAGGTCAACGCCAGTAAAACACAGCTCATTGTCTTCGGCAGTCGTCAAAATTTACGCAAATTGCCAGATTTCAGGGTATCGTTCCGTGACGCAGCGTTGCAGCCGTGCGCGCAGGTGGGGAACCTGGGCGTCACTTTTGACAGTACTCTATCCTGGGACGCTCACGTCTCCGAACTCAGTCGCCGGTGTACGGGACTGTTGATCGGTCTCTCCCATGCGCGCCACAGTCTCCCGGATGGCATCATTAGAACGCTCGTGACAGCACTCGTTATATCACGCATCCAGTACTGCCTCTCAGTTTATGGCAATGGGTCCCAAAAAAATTTCGATCGTCTCCAAAAAATTTTGAACTTCGCTGCTAGAGTCATTTTCGGTCGCCGTAAATTTGCCCATGTCTCTGACCTGCGAAAAAAGCTCGGGTGGCTGTCCCCGCGTCATATGGCTGATTACCAAACCCTTGTTATCGCCCACAAAGCCATTCAGCGCGGCGAACCCGAGGAATTGGCAACCATGTTCGTCACAAACAGCGCTGTCCGGGAGAGACACTCCAGGCAAGACCACCTCTTTCACCTTCCGCGACCACGGCTGGAAACGGGTAGGCGGCGGTTCGGCTATCGAGCCGCTGCTCTACTCAACAGTCTCCCAACTCAGCTGTCGCAGCTGTCTCCCGCCCGCTTTGCCCGATCTGTTAAAGCCGCGATAGTGGACGGGGCATCAACTGATCGTCGCTGACCAACGGGTTGGTGGGTGGGTGAGTTGTACCTGTGGCACTACGAAAGTGTCTCAGTCCGTGCTTTGACGTGAGTGAATGTGTGAATGCTGTGAATGTTTAGATTAGTAACCGCGGATACGGATTCTGAGCAGTAATCGCCACGCACTTTTAGAATGTGGATCGCTCATGATTGTTCAATACAATACAATACAATACAATGCAGAAAGTATGAAAATAATCAGTGCGACGTTGGATGTCAAGCGGAGCCATACCTATTCATATTTCAGAGACACAATATTCATAGAAGGAATTAATTACAAAATAAATAAATCACACATTTTTGCATTGCAGTACTATTCACACCCGACAAGCAGCACTCGATGAAAAGTTATCACCATACTGCATCTATACCTACTCCCTGTCGGTGGAGCTGTTTTGACACCGGTCGCCCCCCCCCCCCCGGATGGAGGGAGGGGACGGCACCCGGGGGCCCTCGAGCGGCCGTCCGGCTCGACAGGCACGCTCGCGATGCCGAGCAGCCGCGGCTCACAGTCCAGCTTTATCGCGCTGTTCACATGATGGATGGCACCGCGGCGCGCTGACGAATGCGCCGATTGATCATAGACGGAAAGTCAAATATCCACACTCACCAATGGGCCAGACCTCTGCCGGAGATGGGACTCTGCAGACGTATCGCCTCAGCCAGTCGACGATATCGACGCAGTTGTTTATTTATTTATAACTTAGGATGACACTATATGAGCTAGTGCTGTCACCCAAGTCCGAAATCTTTAATCTATCGAGTTTAAATTAATAAATAAGCGAGAGGAGTAATGAAGCGATCAGCACTTGAGGAATCAAGCCCTTTAATCGCGTAGCCTTATCAGTCAATAAATAACAAAAGCGTTACCTTTTCCTCACTGCCCGCAGGCAATCAGAACTTGGAACATATCTAAGGTATCGCAGCTCACCCTGATTACATGGAGTTCAGAGGAACGTGCATCTTGTTGATTTAACCCT